GCCCTTCTCACATTGAACGACATGCCATTACACATAGGACGAAAACACAACACACGTTTTGTGTTTTCAACCGCACTAAGACTGACGTCTTTTCATTGGTCAGCCGGTTAGCGCGGTCGATGCTAATAATAAAAACACACACGCACAAGGTAAATATGCTCTCCCGCGCCGCCATGCCCCCATACATCACAAACAAAAAATAAGTTGATGACGAAACTATACACAACCCAAAACGCGCTTGCTCCGCAACCACATAAGGGTGCTACAATAGAACACCCGACAAACCGAGTTCCCCTAAATCTTTCGTCTACAACTTCCCAACATAACATACAGATTGATACACAAGATGGCTACCAAACTGCCTTGTTGAGCCTGTTACCCACAGGGGAGTTATCGTTGTATGCTGTCTGGGAAACCGTAGACATACAGGTAGCCTTTCGCTCACGCTATGGATTCATTGCTAGTCCATCTTAGACGTATTTCTATAGAGATGGATTTGTTGTGTGCTATTAAGAAAATAAAAAACAAAAATAGAAAGAAAAGAACAGGTATCGCACCGACCGTTCGAGAAAAGAGCCCTCGGAAACCGATCAAAATAAGACAAAAACAGAAATAAAGGAGGACGCTTCCCACACCCGCCCAAAGAAAAATCAAAGGGTAACGTACCAGCACCAGGCACTACGCACCAGGGCATGGGAGTAACGGAGCAAACAGGACAAAGAGGCGGCAGATGGGCAGACAGCCAGACGTACAAAAACAAAGGCAACAGCAAAAGCGAGATCAAGGTACCCAACACAGCAGAGGAGGCAGGGAGGTCATGAAAAAAAGAAACACAGCACAGAGGCCGAAGGCAGTACAAAGGACATACATAAAGGAGTAGTCTATAGCATACAGCAGGGAGGGAAACAGGGCGCAACAACGTCAGCCGGGTACATAGTTCGCCACAAGTGCTGCCTCGGCCGCCCTACTACTCGCTTCTACAGCAGTGCCCGGTCGCCGTTTCTTCCCCCCCACCGCCGCTTCCCCGGCTCTCTTTCTCTTCGGTCCTGAGGTGGCCGTACTCTCTGCTTCTTCTGCTTCCCTCGCGCGCTGGCGCTTCGCGGATGCTTCCGCCTCCTGCCTGTGCCATTTCCTCATGAACCATGCCGCCCCGTCCTCGACCTTGTTGT